CCACGCCTTGTTTTGTTTTGATTGATTTTTTAAAAATTAAATTTTTATTTTTTGTGTTTTTAGTGATTTTTTTAATATTTTAAGTAATTTTTTTATTTTTAAATGCACATAATTTAGATATACTTAAAAATATATATTTGAAAAAAAAATTCAATAAATATACAAGAATAAGAAAATATAATGAATTTTTGTATTTTATGAATTTGTTAAAGATTTTTCCATAAATATTATACTTTTTAAGCATATATCTAAGTTAGTGCATTTAAAAAATAAAAATTAAAAATTATTAAAATATTAAAAAATTTGATTAAAAACAAAAATGTACGATTTTTTTTTTTCTCTTCATATTTCTAAAACAGACTCAATTTTTTGAAACTAAACAAGATGAATAATCCCTTACTTTGAAGTTAGTATGAGATACACACAACTCAGTCATAGATTTGTCTCAATAAAATTAGAGTTGTAGTACTCTAACTTAAAAGTTAAATATATTTTTTAAATTCAGTGATGTAACAGTCTATTATTAAATTTTAAAATAATTTTTTTTTCTCATATATTCTCTAATTATCAATTAATCATCTTTTTTACGTATCATTAAGTCTAAAAAATGAATTTATATATTATTTTACATAAAATTATTGTGTCGTTCTTATTCATTTTATATATTGACTTATATAATAATTTGTAAATATTTTTCTATGCACATATTTTTATTATCAAAAATGATTTGGACCCCACAGGAAGGCACCCCCAAGACCCCCTCTAGCCGTTATTGGCCAATTTTCTTTTTTTCTTTTTTTGTCTATTTTCTTCTCTTCCAATCACTAGCCCCCACGTGTGTATGGGGGGTGGGGGTGGGGAATATTTTTCTATGCACATATTTTTATTATCAAAAATGATTTGGACCCCACAGGAAGGCACCCTCCAAGACCCCCTCTAGCCATAATTGGCCAATTTTCTTTTTTTCTTTTTTTGTCTATTTTCTTCTCTTCCAATCACTAGCCCCCACGTGTGTATGGGGGTGGGGGTGGGGGTGGTGATTGGAGGGGTCTCAATCACTTCTCTTTTACTATTTATGGTAGGGCATGCATATATGGTTCAAGTGGCCCAGATGAAACATCTGTCAACCCGACCCAATTATGAATTAAGATTTAAGCCCAGTGCAATCATGATACTCTTAACCCTAGCCCAACTCAGCAAAAAAATGACTCAATAATATGTAGTACAAATAGGGTGCGGGATTCGGACAGTTTAAAAGTAAAATTATAAATTGAATGGTGGATTAGTAGATTGACAAATTGATAAATTGTGGTTTGAACGGTTTTGGGCGGATTGGCGTATTGAAGAATATTCTAACCAATTATCATTTTTTTGCATAACATATAACAATAACTTTAAAAAATGCCTAATTAGTACACAATGTGTTTGAGAGGGGAAAGATTGAGTACACATTTAACTTTTGACATAATACACAAAGTGGTAGTTCCAAGACTTGAACCCATAACCTCATGGTTATTAGGTCAAATCTTAACCATTGAACCAATTTCATATATATAACACAAACTAATTTTACATAATTTTTTTCATATATATAACTACTAATTTGTAATAAATTTCACATATTAAATTTCTCTCACACTCATTTTTATTTTGATATTTCATTATAAATTAAAAAACATATATCTATTAATTATAGCGGAGCAAAACAGTTTCGAAGGTGAATTATAAATTTTAAAGTTTAAACCGCGATTTAGCAGATAGAGCCATGTAGGTTGATTCAGTACAATTTTAGTGAATTAAATGGTATTTTGCACAGCCCTAAGGACAAATGTATGACATAAATTAGTATCTTTTCCTTGGCAATCACTTTGGGATTTTATGGAGTTTATGGCCACATTTATTTGCCAGATTAGGTTGGATGAGATTATTATCGAGGAGATGGTTAGTGAAAAAATTATTAATGTGAGGATGGTTAGTGAGACGATTAAGTAAAAATGTGTTTGCTTTAATGATAGTGGGAGAGATGATTAATAATGAGATTATTTTTATATAATACAAAATAAAATTTTCTATATTAAAAAAAATTATAAAACAAATATAATTTTTTTTTTACAAATAATTAAAAAAAGAAAAAAAAGAAAAGAAAAAGAAAAATGCATTCTAATTCCTTCACTATTTTTTCAATCCCAGTCCATATGAGGACAACTTAATCATATTGGGGCGTCGGAGTAATACTCCACCTAGAGTAGCAATCTCCATCCACAAGGAAGCCACCAAACAACACCAAGGATCCTCTAGAGTGAAATTTCTCTAAAGTTTCCTAGAGTGTTATAGTGTGTGGTTGAGATTTATTGGCAAGTCACATCAGAAAAATTGATGTGACTTACCAGTAAATCTCAACCACATAATGTAGCACTCTAGGAAACTTTAGGAAAAAATCACTCTAGAGGATCCTTGCTCACCAAACAAGTTATAGTGGAACCCACCTCCTTACTACTCCAATCCCACCCCTTAATATTTAAAACAGGATCCACCTCCGCTCGGCGTGATCCACATGATATAAATAAAATTTTTTTATAAAATAAACTCAATCCTCTCACTATTTTTCTAATCTTATCCAAAATTCATCCAAGCTAATCCCCTTACTGAGGGAGATTAGCAAGCCGCTTGGAGTAGCAAGAGTAGCAATCTCCCTCCACAAGGAAGCCACCAAACAAGTTATAGTGGAACCAACCTCCTTACTACTCCAATCCCACCCCCTAATATGCAAAACAAACATGACCTATATGTTAATATTTAAACACTAATTTTCCCGATCTAAAATAAAATATTAATTTGGAGACAATAATTTAATGCAATTTTCAAAAACCAAAGGAATTTTTTTTAAGGTTCTTGATATTAAGATTTTATAAGATAAAGAACATACAATATTTTCATTGTAGTTAAGGTTCTTCAACTTTTTTCAGAGAAAATTCGACTCAGATAAATTTTGCCCGACTCAGATAAATTTTATCCCGACTTAGAGAAATTTCCTTGATTTCACAGAGAAATTTCGAAATTTCTCTATGATCATACTAGAGAAATTTGAGTTGGGCAAAATTTCTCTAAAATTTCTCTAAGTCAGACAAAATTTCTCTGAGTTGAATTTTCTTTGTGAAATTGTTGAGGGATCTTAGCTAATAAAAAAAAAACTTGGATCTCTCTTATTACAAAAAGTTGAAGACGAATGTTTCGCTAATTTTTTAAAAATAGAATATGTGAATTAAATTTATTTTAAATATGATCTATATCATAACAAATTTAAATTTACACTGTATGAATATATTAGAGACTAAGGAATTAGCTTGGTCTATAGAATACTTTCTTACACCACATGATGTTTGCCTTCAAAGTCTCACTATTTTTTTAATGCAACTTTCAATTTTTATAATATAAAATTCTATGATAAAATATGCATTTTTCCTAAAATTGAGGGGACAAACAAATTTTCATTTTCCTAATAACTTAATAGAAAGAAAAGTTTTTTATTTTCTTTTCCTATTTTCCCTCTCAATTAAGCAATTTGGTGTAGCTTTTTGCACAATGGAAAAAAAAAAAGAAGAAGAAGAAGTAGCAGTAGCTAATAACGCATATTTTTTGCTTATCCAAAAAAAAAATAACGCCCATTTTCTCACTTGAGTCATGCTAGGGAGCTCGAAAGCCCCCCCGGCGGAATCCCTCGAATTCGAAAAAAGAAGAAGAAGAAGAGAAGGAAGAAGAAGATGAAGAAGGACTGGACTAGACTAGAGGGGCCAACATCAACCGGGCTGGGCAGGAGGCGGAGGCAGAGGCAGAGGTGGAGGCGGGGCGGGGAAGAGGCGACGATCGGCCGACGACCGACGAGCTGCGACGATTGGCCGACGAGCGACGACGAGCTCCCACCTCTCCCCTCTGTTTCTCTCTCTCGCCTCTGCTTCTCAGGTTCAAAACGAAGAAGAAGAAGAAGAAAAGAAAGAAGAGGAAGAAAAAAAAAAAAAAAAAAAAAAAAAAAAAAAAAAAAAAAGAATGCCCAAAACGACGTTGTTTTGGGCATTCGGGGGATTAGGGGGGACAAAATTCGGGAAAAAAATCATTTTCCTTTCGCACTTTTCATTAAATATTTTTTTTCCAACTTATATAAACTTTGCTAAATTTTACCAAAAAACATACCTTTTGTAAGTAAAAATTATATCAAACACTCTAATATAATATTTAAAATTAAAAAAAAAATTATAACATAAGCTGCACCAAATAAAATCATATTCCCATAGAGAAACTTTTTTTTTTCATAATTTTTTATATTTTTCATTCTTCTTCGTGATAAATTTAAGAAAATTTTGTTAGAAAAATATGAGAAAATTACCATTAAAGTGGTAGTTTTAAAATTTTATTACAAATTCATGAAATTTTTTATGATTCTAATGTGAATATTTATAAAGTTTTATCACTTACGCTCCATTTGTTTGGACAAAAAATATTTTTATAGAATTTTTTTCAGAAAATATTTTTCAAAAAAACATTTTTTTTAAATGTTCGGTGGTGGAGGTGGTAGGGCAGTAGTGGTGATGGTGGTGTGGTTGTGGAGGTAAGAGTGACAGTGATAGTGTGATGACATTGGTTACACTCGAGTCCGAAAAATAGTTTTCGCACTTCAAAAAAAAAAATTTGTCCAAATAAGCTTATTTTCCATTGACTATAGAAAAAAAATCAATTGACTTTTATTTTTTATTATACCAAATACTAAAAAAAGCAAAAAAATATCCTCCATCCAAACAAATAAAACGCTATGTTTAATTATTTTTCAAATTTAATTTTTGCTAAAAATATTGAAGAATTTACCAAAATTGAAAATACGTGTAATTTTGGGTTCCATATGTACGGAAAAGGCAATTATTAATTAATTTAATAATAGGAAAACAAATAAGTAGTACATAAAAAAAAACAAATAAAAGCAGAGGGAGAGAGACAAAACAGGTGTGATCCGCGACGCGAGAGACTCTGCCTCTGATTAGCTCAAACACACTCTCTCTCTTATTTCTATCTCTCTGTCTGTCTCGGAGGAATCGGGACTCGGTCAATTCACCCCCTTATTTCACGCCCTTTTCTCTTTTAAGTCCTCATTTCATTTCCAGCCTCACTTTCTCAATTTGCTTCGCATCTTTTCAATTCCCACTTCTCTCTCTCTCACTCTCATCTCTCGCAAGATCACCAAAACATAGGTGAATTCTCACTAATCTTCGTTCGATTTTCTGTAGATTTGTTCGACAATGTGTTCGCTTTGTTTTCCGATTGAAGTTTTTCACTGATTTCGATACATGTAGATATAGTTATGTATGTATATATCGTAATCTTTGTTCAATTTTCTGTAGATTTCTTCGACATTGTCTTGCTTTCTTTACCGATTGAAGTTTTTGACCGATTTCGATTCATATAGTTATGTATCTATCGTATTTAAGTTTTGATTTTGACCGATCCATCCACAAAATTGTATTATATATGTGAGTGTGTGTGCAAATTGTTTGATAATCAGTTTTTGGATTGGTTATTGGCTTGCACTACGATTTTGGTGATCAGTTCCTGGATTGATTATTGGCTTGCTGTATGATTTTGACGGATCCATTGACAAAATTGTATTTTCTCCCTCCCCCTCTCTCTCTCTCTCTCTCTCTCTATATATATATATATATATATATGTATATATACATATGTACGTATGTACATGAATGTGAGTGTGTAAATTGTTTGATAATTGGTTTTTGGATTGATCATTCGATTTTGATTGATCCATTGACGTAATTGTATAGATTTGTATGTATTTACGCATGTATATGTGAGTGTTTGTGTGTAAATTGTTTGATGATAAGTATGTGGATTGATTATTGGCTCGGATTGTGATTTAGATGAATCTATCGATATAACTGTTTTGATATACGCATGTAAACATATCAATACATGGATGTAGAAACATTGAAGAAATTTTGTTGAACCAAAGATAGAACCTAAATATATTCCAAGGTGACACATCCTGAAAAAGAAAATTGTGATTTATCTCTTTTTTCTCCATTGACATTCTTATCGTTAATCTGTATGTTCTCTGGCAGGCAGCAGAAGATGGCAGACACCGAGGATATTCAGCCTCTCGTTTGTGATAATGGAACAGGGATGGTTAAGGTATCAATTGAAAAATCCCCTCTTTTTAGATTATTCTATTTTGGGAATTAGTAAGGTCATCTCTGATCCTTTCTTTCATCAGGTTTGAGTGAAATTTTGGTTAAAAGTTTGATCTAATTAGGAGTACTCCAAAGAGATTAAACAATTCCCAGCATATGTCAAAATCTTCTTTTAACCATTTTTTGTACAAAAGAAAATCTTCTCCTATCCTTACTCTTTTAATGATTATTGATTTCATCGGATTTGATTAAAAATATGGAATTTGAAAATTTGATGAAGGATTTGGTTCTCACCTTGATTTGATACAAGTTTGATTAAAGGATTGGTGCTCATTTTTAGTTTTTTTTGTATGAAGTTTTGATTTGATGAGGGATTGAAATGCCCATGTAATTGACATCTGGTGTTGGATCTGAATATTTTGAATCTTGGTAGGTTTTCTCCTTAGAAATCACTTGTTACTTAATGTTGATTGCTAAACTTGTTCTCTAATAGGCTGGGTTTGCTGGAGATGATGCTCCAAGGGCTGTGTTCCCTAGTATAGTTGGCCGCCCACGTCACACTGGCGTGATGGTTGGCATGGGACAGAAAGATGCATATGTTGGGGATGAGGCTCAGTCTAAGAGAGGTATTTTGACTTTGAAGTACCCAATTGAGCATGGTATTGTGAGTAATTGGGATGACATGGAGAAGATCTGGCATCACACCTTCTACAATGAACTTCGTGTAGCCCCCGAAGAGCACCCCGTTCTCCTCACTGAAGCACCTCTCAACCCAAAAGCCAATCGTGAGAAGATGACCCAAATTATGTTTGAAACCTTCAATGCACCTGCTATGTATGTCGCCATACAGGCTGTTCTTTCTCTCTATGCCAGTGGTCGTACAACTGGTAAGATCTTGTTTTGTGTCTTGTTTGATAGGTTGATTTAGTATATAAGATTGGATTTCTTAGCAAAATTCTTCTAGTCAATGCCAGCTACAAGATTGGTCTTATTGTTGTTGAAGCTAGTAATTGAATCTTTGGTGAATCATGCCCCTCATGATTATTGTAATCAGTGATTATTTGTTGTTTTTTGTATTTGGATATTAATGCATACTTCTGAATAACCAAATACTTATTCCATAAATTACCATGAACTATGACTTGAATTGTGATGTTGGTGTAGTGATGATGGAATGACAATGGCTATAAACAAGTTATTTACTAAACTCAAGTTGTTTGAAATCTATTTTTCAAATACAAATTGTTTTAACTTGGTGGTTTGTTGAAGTTGTGAACACAAATTTAGGCCTAGTGTCGTGTTACCTGGATTGGAAAATATTTTGAAAACCCCTATGAATTGAGAACTAAGATGCCAAACCACTCGGGTATAAGCCATGTCTCATTGGGTTTATTTACTTCTTGTGCAGGTATTGTTCTGGATTCTGGAGATGGTGTCAGCCATACAGTTCCCATCTACGAAGGTTATGCACTTCCACATGCTATCCTGCGTCTTGACCTTGCAGGCCGTGATCTCACAGATGCCCTGATGAAAATTTTGACTGAGCGTGGCTATTCATTTACCACTACTGCTGAGCGTGAAATTGTGAGGGACGTGAAGGAGAAATTGGCATACATTGCCCTTGATTATGAACAGGAACTAGAAACTGCCAAGACAAGCTCGTCTGTTGAAAAGAGCTATGAATTACCAGATGGGCAGGTGATTACCATTGGGGCTGAGCGTTTCCGATGTCCTGAAGTCCTGTTCCAGCCATCTATGATCGGTATGGAAGCTGCTGGTATTCATGAGACAACTTACAACTCTATAATGAAATGTGACGTCGATATCAGGAAGGATCTCTATGGAAACATTGTACTTAGTGGTGGGTCTACCATGTTCCCTGGTATTGCTGACAGAATGAGCAAGGAAATCACAGCGTTAGCACCTAGCAGCATGAAAATTAAGGTGGTCGCTCCTCCAGAAAGGAAATACAGTGTCTGGATTGGAGGTTCCATCTTGGCATCTCTCAGCACTTTCCAGCAGGTGGGTTTTCTTTCTTTTACACGTATTTCCTCTTCACTATCCATTTCCAAATTTACTGTTTCCAGTGTTCTTAATGCGAGGATTGGTTTTGATTTCAAATACAGATGTGGATAGCAAAGGCAGAATATGATGAGTCTGGCCCTTCAATTGTACACAGAAAATGCTTCTAAGCGAGAAAAGGATATCTGGACTGAGTACTACTCTATCGTGGAAAGAAAAAGTTGCTTGTTTTCTGGTTCTTTGGTTAATTTTCTTTTCTTTTCTTTCTTTTTTCTCTCGTTATTCTAATATCTAAGCAATGACCTAAACGGGATGTTTGATTCCCAGAATTTTTCCAATTCTTTGATTTTTGTTTTTTTCTTAGCAGTTGAGAAATATTTGTCCTGAACGCTGTCAGCATCGTGTTAATCCTATCGTTGTTTTCATAATTGTGTACTTTTGTTTGGGATTGTTTGATGAATGATGAATAATTGAAATCAATAGGTGCTTCTCTTCAATGCGAAGTGATCTCTAAGTGGTTTGTTGGTAATTCTGCATCATAAAATCATGTTAATGCTTGTTTTTGTATGAATGATTCTTGTTTCAAATACCTACTAAATTGAATCTGAACCTCTCATATTTTTTGTCATCATCCTCCATTGTTGGTTCAAAATACTACTTTCCCTTTATTTCTGTTATTTTCTTAGCTGAGAAAATGAGGGATGAGCAAAATATTTTTCTTTTGCTTAGTAAGTTGACAGATACTTTCAGATAGGAAATGTAATTCAAGTGATTCATAGTTTGTTTTGTGGTCGGGATTAATGAGAGAGGGAGAGAAATGATTCTTTTGTTGTGGGTTATATATCCAAATGTTATTGAGGGTTAAATTTGGAAATTTTTTATGGTTGACATCAGAGGACAATCCTTTTTATTTGGTAATACATCAAGACAATCCTTTAGTTGAAAGAGTAAATTATCATTTGGAAATTTTTTATGGTTGACATCAGGACAACCTTTTTTTTTTTTTAATTTTGGTAATACACCCGTGGAAATTTGTTTAAAATACGTATTGCTATTTATAGTTTGAAAAAATACAAATACTTTTCTGTCATAATTTTTTATTTAACAGAATTAATTAAAAAAGTGAAATTTCTAACTGTTTTCCTATACAATAATAAAATTATCTAAATTATTAATTGAAATAAAATTTTAATATCATTAAAATCTATTAATTAACGTGATAATTTATTAATAAAACATGTCTATTTGTTATGAAATTGAAAACGTTAGGGGGCATAATATAATTTTTAGAACCATAGGATGTAATTCCTAATTTAAGTAAACCTCAAGGCGTATGTTTGTAATTTATCCAAAGTTATTTTATTTGATTTGACCGGATATATTTTTTAAAACTTTTTTTTTATTTGTATTTTTTAAAATTTAAGGGAGTCAAATGTATTTGTTTTAAATACTTTTTTTTAGATAGGATAAAATCAAAACATTACGAATTAAACAAAACATGCATCTAACTAGACATAACGAGACATAGAGAGCGGAACTTCTTCCATCAAAACACACAAACCAATCGTGAATGTGACCAGCCTTGCTAGATAGTGAGCAACCTCATTCTCAACTCTACAAACATTAGTAACATGTAAGAAGTAAACGTGTTAAGAACTTATCGAATCTCCATGATTATAGGTCCAAAACTTGCCAATTCAGAATCAGCCCCCAAGATAACATTGATCACTATTAGAAATCCCCTCCAAATGAATTGCATCTATGCCGAGATCCCGAGCAAACCGAACCGTCTTAAGAGCACAACTGCCTCTAAAAATTCAACATTTTTAATCAACTCAATTTGTTCAGATAATGAAGCTATAACACACCCCAAGCTATCTCCAACAACCAGCCCAAGACCGGAAACATTTGAGTAGCACCCATAGCCCCCATAGAAATTCGTCGAGAGATTTGAGAATAAATTTGAAAAGAGAAATAGAAAAAATATATAAAACTAAGTAAAAATGTAAGTATATTTGGTTCAAATTTTACTTACTTTTTTCATTTTCTTTTTCAAATTCTTCTTAATGTTGTGTTTGGTTGGGGGATTTGGGGAGGGATTTGGAAAGGGAAAGGGAAAAGGTATGTAAAATTATGTGAAATATAGGTATGATTTATTCACATTTCACCTACCTTTTCTATTTCCCTTTCTAAATCCCTCTCCAAATCGCCCAACCAAACACAGCATAAATCTCACAAGTAAATATAACGTTAAGGAGGTGTATTTGCAATTCAAGGCAAAAATGTTTAAAAAGTGTTTTCGACATTGAGTGGCGTCTATTTTCTTGCAACTTGTGTAGGTCCATTCTCAAGCAAATGACCAAAACACCACAGTTAATAATTTATTAATAACTTGTTAACGACTTCAATCTAAATAATAATAATAATAATTTGTTAATGATCCGTTCAAAATGGAGTGACTATCAAACAAGTATTGTTTGCTTAAAATATCAAAACTTTCCTTTTAAATATTTATTTTTCAAATAATAAAATTTTTGTATGTGTTTATCAAGATCTATTAAACAAAATTTATATTAAAATTCTCAATTTTTTTTTTTTTGATTGATAGAAATTTCCATTAAGATAGGAAAGCCAAATGACACTTGCAAAGAAATCCAATCCAATAAAAAAAAAAATTACACCAAAAAAAAAAAAATTCAAAGAAAGCACAAAGTAGAATTTATGAATATATCGAGATGCGAAGCTCGTATTGCGAAGCAGAAGTTGATCATAAGAGTTTGACAATAGAACAAGTCTGAAATAAATACACATGTTACATCCACAGAAAGGGTAGCCTACAAACAAAGCACTAATGGAAACTATGAAATTTCTCAAAATTGTGAAAGTCACCGTTTCTAATCGATGAATTTCTCAAAAAGTTATGAATATTCCCATTTTAAAAACTATGAACACCATATATACCAATAAATATTCAAGTATAATTCAATTATGAGAAATTTCTTGGTCAGTTTCAAGTATTTGGGATCAATATTTTGAGTTTTTGAAATTGAGACATCAACAACTTGAAGAGAAAAAAAAATAAAAAAATAAATAGCGAGAAATTTTACCGTTTGTGAAACTGACAATTTTTTAAAAATTTTAACATAATTTCATCTATAATATGGGTCTTATTTAATAGATCTCAATAAATAAATTTAAAAAAGATAAATGCATAAAGTAAAAATTACTGTAATTGAAAAATTTTAACACAAAAATAATTATATGGCATGTTTACCAACAACATTCATGGACAAAATCCTCAAAAAAATAAGTTAGACAATTAAAAATACTTTCAAGTTCACAAACATTCTTAATTAGTTAACAAAATGTTTTTTTTTTTTTTAAGAATATTTATCTTAAAAATTACCTCAAAACTAAACTGGATGATGAGATCCCTGCAAATACTTTTGGTAAATTTTCTAAATATGTTATAATAAAATTATGATGGAATTCTTGTAAGTTTTTTTTTTTTAAATTAAAAAAAAAAAAAAAAAAAAAAACCTTACTTGAAAAAGCCCTAGCGAACAATAGTAAAGCAAAAATCTGTAAAATTGATGGATCGAACATTTGTAGTTAGCTTCAGGGGAACCAAAGAAGTCATGAATGGAGTCCAAGTAAAACCCTTTCGACTCCATGATTGCTAGCCCGTAGAAGCTTCCTCAATCTAATACACACACACACACAGAGATGGGTAGAATAGGAGTTGCAGTGATTGTGAGCTTGTGGATTATCCCTATCTCCTTCCTCGTCAATCGCATTGTTCCTCACCCTTACATGGTATTCTTCTACTTCATCGTTATATATGCGTGTGTATGCGTGTATGAATGTTTATATGTTCTGATATATTATAAATTGTGATGTGCAGGATGAGATTTTCCATGTGCCTCAAGCACAACAATACTGCAAGGGGAATTTCACAAGTTGGGATCCCATGATCACCACTCCTCCTGGATTGTGAGTTCTGAATTCTTTTCATGATTTGTTGTTTTTTGATGGTGTGTTTCATGAATTGGTGTTGTGTTTGTAGATTGTTATTAGGGTTGAAGCTTAGTTTAGTAGAGAACAATGAGTTTGGATCGAATGTAATTAGTTAAAGGTGGGTTGTTGTGAGAAGAATTGAAATCAAAAGTGGTAAGCTTGTATTTTCATTACATTGATTCAGGAAAACAGAAGGTTTCACTCAATTGGGCAGAATTTAACTTGTTTACTGGGTTTAGACGGGTTTTTCATTTTCTTCTGCAAACAAATTTAACTGAAAAAGCATCAGCAGCCAAAGGAAAAAGTAGAGCGATTTAAGATATAATGCCACAGCGTGCTTTGTAAAATTGTTTTATACATGTCTCTTAACTAATGCAAATTGAAAGCTTAGAAGAAGTCGTTTAATACCTTCCATCTGATGAAAAAATTCATAATTTTCATTCCTATGCTTATAGTTTTATGTAATGAGAATCTGTTATGAGAATAGTACCATTCATCCATGTAGAGGTGAGCTCCTTTTATTGAATAAAAATCTGATCAAAAAGCATATCTGATCGGTCCTATTCGACATGCATTTTATTTGCATTGGGTTTATTGATATGGAATTTGTGCTGATGAAATATAAGGGGTGTGTGTGTGTAGAAACTGTCTGTTCTTTTACTTTCCCCTTTCCTTTTGGGTTTTGAGGGGGGAGGGTTTTTTGGCTTTCTGAGTACACTGCTCTGAATCTTTCTATAGCCTCTTTTTTTTTTTTGGGCCATCGAAAGGAGATTATTTATTTACAATGTAGAGAGAATTATATCCGGATAATCGTAGTCCAACAACTAGCCCAATACCAACCAACAGAAGAATAGCCCAACAAAACCAACTCACCCAAGAAAGAGCTCCATAATGGGAAAGAAATAAACACTACAGCAAAGAGCCCTATAGTGAGGAAGAAATTATTAATCGTTGCATTTAGCAAAGATTGACCCCGTGACCTCCCAAATAGAAGTGTATAAGCGTGGCTAACTGAGCTAGCCAAGTTGGTTGAATTTTTTTGTAGTTGAACAGTGTAAGTTTTGCTGAACCTCAGTAAGTTTACTTGAACCTAGGTACTGACTGCTGAGATTAATTTTTTCTTCTGAGGTTTATTGAACCTTAGTATTTGAAATAACACATATTTTTTTTTACAAAAATAAACCAAAATGATAGTATGAATTATATAAAAATAACAACAATAACGGATTTTTTTTAAAAAAAACATAAAGAGCTAGTAGTGCACCTGATAGAGATAAATATAAATATGATATATTAATGTTTCTCATAAAATGAAAAAGACGAAGGAAATATTGTCAAAGTGTTCAAATCAGACATTAACAATAGAACTTGATACATACAATTTAAAACTTTTGCAGGTATTGTCTTTCACTAGCCCATGTTGCTTCTTTGTTTCCAGGCATGTTATGTATGCAAGTGGCTCCGTCATTTTCTGATGCTTGCTCCACTGCTATTCTTCGCTCCACCAATGCTATCTTGGCAGTAATTTGCAGTGTTCTGGTTTACGAGATAATCACTCAGTTGAGACCAGCTCTTGATGAAAGGAAAGCTACTCTTTATGCAGTTGTTCTAGCACTGTACCCCCTCCATTGGTTCTTCACATTTCTTTATTACACAGATGTTGCATCACTTACTGCAGTGCTTGCCATGTATCTTGCGTGTCTAAAGAAGAATTACATCTTCAGCGCATTGGTAATAGAACCAACTTGAGCTAATTTCATATGTTGTTAATACATGATAAATTTCCCAAATCATCTACATATCGTACAAGGTTTTGCAATGTCCCTATTTAAGTAGTTCTATTCTTCTCAAATCTCAATGTTTTTCAAGTTTATCGTACACGGTCAAGTCTTGGCAAATTCTAGAGCCAGGATTTCAAAAAATGATTTCCAAACACTAGTGGTGATACTTTTGAAATCCTTATTTATTTATTTATTTTATCAAAAATGATTTGGACCCCCACAGGGGAGGCACCCCCACGACCCCCCCCTGGCTGTGATTGGCCTTTTTTTTTTTTTTCCGTTCTCCTCCTCCAATTACCAGCCCCCACGTGTGTGTAGGGGGTGGTGATTGGAGGGGGTCTCAATCACTTCTCTTATTTTATAATCATGAACTTGGAAATTCTTGGGCCTTCCAAGGACACCAAAGAAAATTTATTTATTTATTTATGTAGTTTTGTTGTGTGAAATATCTCTAGTTCAAGGTCTCTCCTGTTTGATGCCTTAGGCTAGTTTAAGAACTTCAAATTTATTTTTTTTTTGGATTAGTACTTCAAGAGCTTAGATTAGGACCCTGAATTGAGAAAACTACGTATATCACAGTTTTTTTTGGAACATAATGCTTCTATAGAAAGATAAAGAGATCTTTAGTATACATTCTCTTATATTAACTCAAAATAATTCCATGGGCTTAGTTTTTTGATGCATGAGGAAACTTATAATCACTCACTCACCTGCAGCTTGGGTCTTTTTCTGTATTCATACGGCAAACAAATATTATATGGGTGCTCTTTGTTGCATGTGTTGGGGTTATAGATTGCACTCTGGCTTCTAGAAAAGCAAATGTGCAATTAGATGACTCTGATCTATCAATCAGGAAAGACAATCAGTTAACTTCCAATAAAGGTGTCACAAGAGGCTCCAACTTGCGAAAGAGAAATCCTGGCAAAGCTGTGGATATTGTCAACCATTCTATACAAAGAAGTGCCCCTTCAACAACCTATTCATCAGGTTCTATGTCTCAAATTTCACATGAACTTACTATTGATTTGTACCTAGTCAGTATTGATAAGTTTGGAGTATCTATGTTCTTCATTAATCTTGAAGAGAACACACTTTCTAATAGTTGGGGGCATGTCTTTCTTAAAATTAGAGCTTGATGTAGTGATGGGCTTTCTGTTCTTTGCGATACTAGAATACCATTTAAAAATGTTATAGCATGTACCGAGTCAAACCAATTTCAAAATATTATTGAAATGTATAATAGTTACAGATGAAGTGATATCATTGCAGTTAATTCCTATGTCATAATGTGTCAAACATAGGCATATCATATGCTTTGAAGTGTTCATGTGGCATACTCAGGATTCTGTTATTTAATGAACACATTTGTTGCCAAAACCTTCATATAACGTCTTTGAATATTAACTTGAGGATATCTACAATCTTTTTCTGTAACATATGCAGCAAAAAGTATCGTGTTGTGACTCACAGATTGATGGGTTTCATTTAGAAGGTTTCTTGGAAGAAAATTAGACCCAAGTAAATAGTAAATTCCCTTTTTTATGTTACTTTAGATTTAGATTTTCAAACTTATTCTGATAGCATAAATTGCATGTTTAGGTTATTCACCAGTCATAGGGGGAGAAAAAGAAAGACACAAAGAAAATAAAGGATGTGAAAGATACCTTGAAGTGGACCCTTCGTAATTGTTCCATCAAAGTGAAGGAGTTTCTGTATTTGACCTTTTTTTTGGCTGTTCTTAACAGTTTTGCATTATATGGTGGGATAATTGGTAGAAATGTAGAATGGACATATTAATGTGCAACTCTGGGACTGTCTCGTGGTTTGACCTGCCCCGTGGGTGCCATTTGGTTTTGGTTGCAATGCTAACAACATATCTATTTGACATTATGTTCTTTTCAGGTTTTTTTGATGAGATTCAAGACATCTTTCTGATGGCGTGGCATCATAAGTGGAAGCTTTTGGTTTCCTTTAGTCCCTTCTTTATAGTTCTGGTGTCTTTCGTTGCTTTTGTCAGGTGGAATGGGAGTGTTGTTCTGGGTAACAACCATCTTCAATTCTATTGTTTTTATTTATTTATTTACTAATTTGTTAGCTTCTCTTTCTTATTTTTTTTTAGAACTAACTTTAATTTTTTTGCTGCCTCCTGACACCACAGGTGCAAAAGATGCTCATGCCGTTTCTTCCCATTTTGCACAAATAATGTATTTTAGTCTGGTTTCTGCTCTGTTCATGGCCCCTTTCCACACCACTTTTCGTCACACCGCAATTCTGTTCCAGTCATTCCGGAAGAACGGACTACTTAGTTTCTTTCAATGGTTTGTGGCCCTTATTGTTGGCTTCCTTTCAGTGCACTGTTCCAGGTCAGATCATCTAACCTTTTAAACATCAACCAAACAGTAATAGGTTTTTTTTGTCCCTAAAAATCTTTGACTTGCATTGAATTGATTTGAGTTCCATCTCATGCATGTGATGCATGTGTGAGGTGGCTGATGCCGTTCAGTGTGCTCCACCAATGACATCTATATTTCATAATCAGCTTTCCATTTATTTTTGCAATCATATTCCTAACTTGCACCTGTTGAACTTGTTTTTACTTTCTACTTCTGTTGAATATTTCAGAGTTATTTTCTATCTCTTCAATGGTGAAGCTTAGCTTTACAAGATTTCCTGCTCAATATGATGCAAGCTCTAAGATTACTAGAAATTTGACGCTTCATTACATTTCATACTGATTATTGCAGCATAGCTCACCCTTATCTTCTTGCTGATAATCGACACTATCCCTTCTATCTTTGGCGGAAAATCATCAATGCTCATTGGTCAATGAAGTACCTTCTGGTCCCACTTTATGTTTACTCATGGTTTTCCATCTTCATTATCTTGGGTTCGTACAAATTTTAATTTGCTACTCTGTTTCTTGTTTGTCTGTTTTGACCTCTCTGAACACTTGTTTATTTGTTCATTGGCAGCAAAAACTCGCACAAAGATCTGGGTATTGTCTTATTTCTTGGCTTGTGCTGCAGTTCTTATTCCCGCTCCACTAATAGAGTTTCGATACTACACTATACCGTTCTTTTTCTTAATTCTTCATTCCAATGTCAATGATTACAAAAGTTGGCTTCTCACAGGAATCCTTTATATTGCCATCAACATCTTCACCATGTTTATGTTCTTATTTCGGCCATTCTACTGGAACCACGAGCCTGGGATCCAGAGGTTTATTTGGTAAATCATATGCTTTGACGGATCAGATTAGATTGGTTTTCGGGGGAGGTAAAAGTACTGTCATCCGAATTTCTAAAATTTCAACAGAAACAGTGCTATATGTGATTTGCACCGGACAACAGAGCACGAAGTTTTGGCTTATGGTTCGGTATGTACTCTGATACTATTTGTTGAAGAAAATATTTTTATGCCTAGTCTAATTAAAGAAACAAATTTTTGTAGCTCTTGTTTGATAATGTTTCAGTAAACATGATTTGTGCCTGTAATCTTTCATTTAATAGAGGACTTTTGGAATTTCCTCGGTTTTATGAGATTCCCTGGTTGAAGGTCTTCTTTCTTTTTCTTCTCCATATTCTCTCTCACCTTGCTTTTCATTTTTCACCTTGCTTTTGAATACTATTGTTTGTTTCGATTAGCTTGGAAAATGAAAACATTTTGAAAACATTTTAGGGAAATGACATAAAAAAAAGAAGAAAAAAATGTATGGCCATGTGGTGTTCTGAACTCACTAGATAACTTCTCGCGTTTACGTACACAAAACACAACAAAATGAGTTGAAATTTGTAACATGAATGATCATGACTACGTGATTGTAAATCTTAGGTAAGCATGACATCATAAGGACGCATCTACTTCTCTACTCCCACACATTAACATTTGAATTTGAATTTGAATATTAAAGATTCATATTATGATATTATGCCATTTTGAAAGTCAAAATTCAAACCCCTTCCAGAAACATGGGAACTAGTACCAAAGACTTAAAACACCTTCCCAATTCCATAGAGAATATGTTGAAATTTCTCATAACCATCCAATGTTTTGATTTATTATTGGTTTTTTGGGTTGGAGGATCATCACCATCACCATCACCAATTTATTGGTTCCAACAAATAAGAAAATTATTCAATGGTTAGGAACTACAACATCGACTTTTGGGTTTGAGTAATGGGATGGGATTCAATATCTTACCTCGATTGGGTTTTGACGAGTTGAAATATTGAGTCTCGTGTGTTTTTATACAACCAACCATAAGTGATATCGGACCAAAACTAATGAACGTGTAGTTGGCATTTGAGAAAGTGGGGTTCAACAAATTGAAACCTCAGGTCTAACTTTTTCTATGTAGCCAAACAATAATAATATGGGACCAAAATTAACCTAGTGGTTGAATAATTACTCAACGTATAGTAGGGCTTTGGAAATGTTGGTTTTGACAGTAGAAGCCTTGGGTCTTTTATAAATATATAGCAAATCATAAGTAATATGGGATCAAAACTAACTCAATATATACTATGCCTTTGATGATGACAGTTCAAATGTCAAAAAACATGTAGTTGACCTCCATCTTCATGTGCAGCAGCATGTGTCACTCTTTAACTTTGAACCCTAATGATTTCATATAGTATAATAATGATTGCTAACCTAACACACAGTTTGTTTACATCATAGTCCATCAAATCCATGGAATCAACTCTCTTGAAACTAAACTATGTCACTGTTTCTGACTTTTCTGAGTTTGATTATTCAGAGCAGAGTAGAGCAGTTGATCACCTCTTTTAGTTAATTTCTACTTAAACCATTTTTGGGTTTTGAAAAATCAGCACGTCACGTTGCCCTAATTTTTTTTTTTAAAATTTCTTTCAATTTGCTCCGAAAATCTGAGCTTTTATTTGCTTCAAATGCTTTGGTTGTGGTTTCAATTGGCAATCTCTACTTTTTTGAGGGTTCATTTGAGAAGAACTTTTTTAAGCTGATTTTTAAATTTTTTGGCTAATTTAGCCTATCTAAATTAACTCCATTTGAGAAGAATTTTTTGGCTCTTTTGTGAGAGAAAATGTAAAATGATTATAGTTTGAATGTGACAGTTTGTCTTATTGACTTATTTAACTTTTTTTTCTTTTTTTTTTTTTGTGTTTTTTCAGTTTTTAAAGATAATTTCCCCTAACTATTTTGGTTCCTCACATGTATGAGTTTGACTACCTTTATTTTAGGGTTAATTACACTTTTCATCCATATAATTTGACTATCTTTATTTTAAGTTCAATTTCAATTTGGTCCTTCAATCCAAATTTTTGTTAATTTTTTCTACGTGTCACCGTAGAAAATTGACAAGTGTCTCAAAATTGGTAATTTTAATAGCGAATTTGGATGAAAGAATTAAATTGAAACTAGATTCGAAATATAAGGATCAAATTGTTCAATTTAACAATATAAAAATTAAATCAAACTAAAAGTGTAATTAATCCTCTATTTTAATAGCTTCAGATGCATATTTTCTGCATCCAATGTGGGATGCCAACAATATCTACCATTGACTAGTGGCAGAGCCATTTTAATTTTTACACTCACATACCCCAACTTGAAAGATCCTTCAAACTAACCTAACAGAAATTGCTAACAGTTCTTGGCATTTCAGATGGCGACTTCTATAGCCAACTCAAGGGAGGCTTAACATCAACCTGTTGCTAGATTGATCAGAAAATGAATGTTTTAATTTTTATTTTATTTTTTTGATACTTTTCTCCTTTGGCAGTTAAAAGTTAGTCTAATCAAACTATAAATTCAAAGGTAAATTACACTTTTAATTCATATAATTTAATTCAAATTTCACTTTGATCTCTACTTTTTTGAATTGAACAATGTGATCTCTGTATTTTAACTCTAGTTTCAATGGTCCTTTCGTTCATGCTGGAGGTTAAAATTAATAATTTTGGAGCACTTATCAGTCTTTTAATGTATACATATAGAAAAAAGTAGCTGAAGCTTGGGCATAAGGGCCAAATTGTTCAATTTAAAACAATAAGGATTAAAGTGAAATTTAGATACAAACTATAAAAAAGGGTCTAGCTTTTCTCCATTTGAAGGAGAGAACTGGGCCCATGCAATTTGATTCGATGGGTTCATTGGAGACCCACTCAATAATCCTGAACCGCTTCATTGAACCTTATCTGTAAATCATTCATAAAAAAAATATAGATTGATCTACTAATCGTAGTCGTATGACTCAAACAGAACAAATGTATGTGCAAATAACAACAGTGTACTGTAAAGGCTAAAAAATTACTGGAAAAAAAAGTAACAAATGAAAAGGGGAAATAGAAAAGGCTGTCTCTGTAACACATTGAAAAATAACCCTAAACTATACATTGTGAAGAAAACTAAAAATGGAGAGAGAATAGAAAAGAGGGAAATTATAACTTTTTTTTAAAAAAAATAATCTCTCATTTGCATAAAAATTGACGGCAGGTCTTAGGGCAGCAATAAGGTTGCTTCATTCTAACTTAGTCATCGTTAGTTCGAAAGACAGAAAGAATTGAACATCTGAGCTTGCAATGACAAGAGTCTTGGGTACTGAATTGTCCTTCTGTTTGTGTATAAACTAGTCTATATAAACTAATATTTACACAAACGAATGCCATATTTTTCTCTAAAAAAAAATGATGATTATTAACACATCATCATGGCACCATTGCCAGCCTCCTTGTGGGTAGGAGTGTAAATTTAGCTCGTCGGCCCGCGGCCCACTTACAACCCACGTGCAGCCTAATGCGACCCAACTCCGCTAGGCTCGTCCAAGCCCAGGCCTGAGCTCAAGCCCAGCCCGTGAACCTAGGCTTGGGTAGTTTGTTTCAAAGCACGACCTAGCCTATGAGCCTAGCCTGCTAGGCCCGGCCTAAAGCCCAACCCATCGGTCTGTTCAAGGCCTGACTCAAGGCCCAGTGTCATTTTGGTGGAAAAAAAATAAAATTTTGGCGAAAAAAATGGTCAGGCTTGACCTAGGCCGGAGCCTGCGCGGCCAAATAATAGGCCGAGTCTGGCCAAATTTTACTTATGGGATATCAAGTAACTCATGGAAGTTCATACCTGCAAATTTCCCAAGTTCAATATAATTAGTTCATTCAATTGCTAACTCACTTATTTTCAATCCAAATTTAAGCTCGAATTAAATGTCTTACCAACTTTTTTCACAGCTCGAAACGAAACTTCTTTAATTCAATGCTAAGTTGGATCTCCTTCAGGGAATGAAGAAGTGAAAATCTCAACTTCAGAGATAGCTTCTTCATTGGTGAAAGAAAATGATCCCCACATTTTAAATCTAGTTTCAATGGTCCTGTTGTTCAATTTGGAGGTTAAAATTATTAATTTTGAGACATGTATGCACGTAAAAAAAATTAATTAAAATTTGAGTAGGACTAAATTATTCAATTTGAAACAATAAGGATTGAAGTGAAATTTGAGTAAATTACATAGGTGAAAAGTGTAATTGAAGGGTCTAGATTTTCTCCATTTTGAGGAGAGAACTGGGCCATGCAATTTGATTCGCTGGGTTCATCGAGCTCACTTCAATAACTTGAACCGTTCATTAAAATTGTGTAGATTGATCTACTAAAGTAGTTATATGATTCAAACAAAACAAATGTATCTACAAAAAACAACAGTGTATTACAAAGGCTAAAAAATTACTGGGAAAAAAATAAACCCGTAAATAACAAATGAATGAAATCAGATCAATTGGCCAATCTTAGCGAAAGGGGAAACAGAAAAGGCAGTCTGTCTGTAACTCATTAAAAATTAATCCTAAACTGTACATTGTAAGAAAAGAAAAAAAAAATGGAGAGAACAGAAAAAGAGAGAAATTAACTCTTTTTTTTTAATAAATATTTTCTTATCTCCCATTTGAGTATAAATTGGCGGCTGGTCTTGGCGTAACAGTAAGGTTGCTTCATTTTGACGTAGGCATCGTTAGTTGGAAAAACAGAAACAACCATACATTTGAGCTTAGAATGACGAGAGTCTTGTGCACTAAATTGTCTTTCTGTCTGTGTATAAATTAGTATTTACACGGACGAACGCCATATTTTTCCCTCAAAAGAAATAATGATTATTGACACGTCATCGTGGTACCGACGCCGGTCTCCTTGTGGAATATCAAGCAACTCATGGAAATCCATACCTGCAAATTTCCCATCCACATTGAATACAATTAGTTCATACAATTACTAACTCATTTCTTTTCAATCCAAATTTAATTAAATGCCTTACCGGCTTTTTTTGCAGCTCGAAACAAGACTTCTTCAACAAGATGCTGAGCTGGATCTCCTTCAGGGAATGAAGAAGTGAAAACCTCAACTTCAGAGATAGCTTCTTCATTGGTGAAGTACTGATAGAGCCCATCAGAGGACAATATCAAAAACCGGTCTCTCGGGCCAAGTCTGTGGTGGTAGAGTGATGGGGAACAAGTGATATATGGGGAGCTTCCAACATAGTCAATTCTGAACATCTCTAGAAGTGCGTTGTTCCATTTTGGCTGCAAAATGATCATAGAGATTCATAGGCATTAACTAGTTGTTACAAGTTCTCAACTTTAAACAGTGAAATTTCACAAAAAAACCAAGTGAACCACAAAGTATTTATGCAGAACAAAAACAAGGAAATCAAAGCATCCATTGTCTGGTCTCTGCAACAAACAGGATTACATGGTTCCAAAATCAAGAGCATTCAATGTTGGTGGCTTTTTATTTTTTATTTTTTTAGTGTCATAAATATGCAAAATTCAATATTGAAATATAGTTAAATTTCACATTTTGGAATCCATGGATGAATAATAAGCTTACCTGCTTGAGAAATCCGGCCCCAAAAGCTCGAGTGACCTTCAATGAACCTTTCACTCTATCATTTGATATCGCAGAAGAATCACTGTGATGTTCCTTCTTAATTCTCTTCACTTCCTGAAATTCAAGACGCAACAAATCATATAAGCATTGTTTTAACTCATTGAAACCAGGTACAAAAACACGAATTAATCCACTCTCCAAACAATGAAAGAATGTAAAATTTCACCTCTTCCACTGAAGTGCTATGATCCATTGTGAGCTGAAGAGAAATCAAGTTTGGTAAACAATCAAATGCTTCAAAATCATTCAAATTCTCCTCATTGATACTTGCCAAGTCGGGTTCAGATTTCCGAGCTAGAACAGCCCTACTATCCCCCACATTCATCAAATAAACATCTTCCCCTTTCATCAACATCACCAAAACACAAGAACCCATCAAAGACAACTCTGGATTCTCTGGCAACATCGTATCAGCAATCTCCAAAAACGACTCCTCCGTCTTCCTCAATGCCACGGAAAGAGCTTTCAAGATATCAGAATGATTGATTCCAACATTTTCCAAGTTACTCAAATTTCCAAGCTCCAATCTTTCCTCCCATTTTTGCTTGGATTTCTTTCGCCTCTTTGTCCTCGAATCGCAATATAATTCCAAATCCCCATACCCACATGGATGATCCTCTGTTTCAGAACATTGTAAACATTTATCAAACATGTGGTCTGCCATCAGATATGGATCATCATTCTTGGACTTGTTATTACATAGCAATCCATTGAGCTCTTGATGAACATTGGAGTAGAGATTATTGAGCAAATAATCAGTAGCATCAGGACCATTGAATCCATCATAAATTCCAACAAATACCCATCCCTGTTCCTCTGGTATCACGATATGAACTCGATCCTCACCGGCTTTTCCTTGTGCCCACTGAACATTCATACTCTTAAAAGACTCATCACAATCATCAACTAAGCTCACTTGTCTATTAAAATTTTTGCCACTATTCACTGTACCATTCTCATTGTTCTTGTCCAACCCATTAGTCCAATCCGAAACTTTCCCCGAAGCAACCCTTGCGATCGTTTTTTTGAGATTTCTGATCATATCCCATTTCTTGTAGTTAGGCTTATATCTCTGGAGATGATCGTATTGGTTTTCTAATGGACCCGAAATGAAGTTCCGCTCGATCGGACCAGAGAGGAATCCTCGTTCGATCGGTCCGGAGCTAGGAATAGCTCCGGAGGTTGGGGGAATTGGGCTGGAACGAACAGAGGGAATTGAATTCCGAGGAATGGGTTGGAGAGGAATTGAAGCGAAGGAGTCGGAGCTCTGGAATGAAGAGGCTTTGTCGAGAGAGGCGGTGTTGTAGAGAGAGAGATCGATGAGCGATGTAGAGAGAGGAGTGGTAGTGTTGGCGGAGAGAGAGGCGCCGGAGATGGATTTGAAGGTGGTGGTGGAGGAGGAGGAGGAGGAGAGGAGAGAGGAGTCTTGGGGGAAGTAGCAGAAGGAGTGGCCTAAACCGTCGTCGAGAGGGTCGGAGAGGTAGACGGAGATGTGGTGTCGCCGGCGTGAGATTTCGCCGGCGTCTCCGGCGAAGCAGAGGTTGAGCTTGCCTACACCATTACCCATTTCAAGAATTTTAGGGGAGAGGGAGAGAGAGACAGAGAGAGAGAGAGAGAGAGGTCTATAGCTGATTGTTCATGGTAGAAGCTCTGGTTCAGTTGAGAGAGAATAGGAGGGAGGTGAGAAAAGCAGATAAGAAGAAAATGCAGGGGAGGGCGAGAGAGAGAGAGAGAGGAGTTGACTTTTAGCGAAGATATGATGGATGTGTTTGGTATTGCTTTTTGTTGATTTTATTTGTTTTTATTTGAGATGATTCTTTTTGGTGGGCTATTGGGGAGTTGACTTTGTTCATTTGTTTGTTTGTTCTCTCTCATGTAAAAGGAAGAGTAAGGATCCTCTAGAGTGATTTTTTCCTAAAGTTTCCTAAAGTGCTATATTGTGTGGTTGAAATTTACTGGCAAGTCACATCAATTTTTCTGATGTGATTTGCCAGTAAATCTCAACCACACAATGTAGTACTCTAGGAAACTTTAGGGAAGTTTCACTCTAGAGGATCCTTGGTGTAAAAGGAATGGGCGCGGGGTTGAGTAATACGAATACTGCGATAAAAAATATATATGGGTAAATTACACGATTTTGTTTAATATAGGTTTTCTTTTTTTATGATTAAATTTTTTTCAGACGTGTAATCTCATTATAAATTGTTCTTTGAATTATTGATATCATATTCTAAAATTTTTTAAATAATTATTTTATTTATTTATTTTTACTATTTTTTCTTCATATCATCATTACATTATTACATGCTATAACTTTTTATCATTAAATTTTACCTAAATATATTCTTATTAAGTAGTGATATACAAACATTAATTTTATCAAAAATGCTAGAGGCCCCAAAAATTCTACCAAAAGTTTTACCAAATGTCTCACATGGGTGTGGGACCCACATAGGACCCACATTGTGTGGGTCCCACACCCATGTGAGACATTTGGTAAAACTTTTGGTAGAATATTTGGGGTCTCTAGCATTACTCTAATTTTATATAAAATTTTCAAACACAATGATATAGTTTAAGGGTGAAGCACCAATAAATCTCAAAATGTGATCTTGTGAACTATTTAGTCCTCCATTTTTTTCTTATGAATCCAAATGTCCTATTAAAGTGGAAATTACATAAAATGGTAGTCACTTTCATGTTTGAATTTAATTTTTTAGGAATAAAAATGGGTTTCTCAAAATGTAAAATTATACATTTGGACAATTTGCACTATAGAAGTTTTGGATATTCCCTCATTCTGGAACAAATCTCACGTTATGAACAAAAACCTAACACTCCATTGTAACACTCCAATAATATAACATTTTAATGTAACATACTAAAAAATTCTTTGGTGTACTTTTTCCAAATGTAACACAAAAAAAATAAAAAATAAAAAATCTAAGTGAACTTTTCCCAAATGCAACATTCTAATTAGTGTAATCACAAATGAAACACTCTAATGTAACATACAAAAATACTAAAAAAAACTTTTTAGTGTACTTTTTTTCAAACGAAACAGTCACAATTTAAAATTATACATTTGCCAAAAACTTACTAAGAAATATTTGTATTCTTTTGGAATTGTTTGAAAAATCTCACATTTTTTTTTTTTTAGTTTTACATTGGAGTGTTCAGTTTAGAAAAAATACACTAAGATTTTTTTTTTTTTTTTGTATTACATTGAAGCATTACATTTGGAAAAAGTACACCAAATTTTTTTTTTGTGTATTACATTAAAGTGTTAAGCAAAGGAATTATTTTAGAGTGTTATATTGAAATGTTACGTTTGAAAAAAGTACGCTAAGGAGTTTTTTTGTGTGTTACATTAGAATGTTACACTGAGAAATTTTTATGTGTTATATTAGAGTGTTATACTGAGGAGTTTTTTTAAAGTATTATATTAGAGTGTTGCATTTGAGAAAAGAACACTAAGAAATTTTTTGGTGTTAAATTAGAGTGTTACACTAAGAAGTTTTTGTATGTGTTATATTAGAGTGTTACACTAAGAAGTTTTTGTATGTGTTATATTAGAGTGTAACGTTTGGAAAAAATACACTAAGGAGTTTTTTTTGTGTATTACATTAGAGTGTTATAAAAAGAAATTTTTTTTGTGTGTTACATTAAAACATTATACTAAGGATTTTTTTTAAACTGTTATATTGGAGTGTTACGTTTGGAAAAAGTACAATAAAGAGTTTTTTTATGTGTTACATTAGAATATTACACTAAGATTTTTTTTTTATTATTATTATAGTGTTACATTGAAGTGTTACGTTTGAATGTTATATTAGAGTATTACAGTTTGAAATTATACATTTGGTCAAAACTTAACAAGTAATTTTTGTACTTCTTTTGAAATATTTGAAAAATCCCACATCTTTTTAAAATGTTTAAATAATCCCATATTTTAAGTCATTTTTGTATTCATTTTAAAATATTTTCCAAATAAAAAAAGATTTTTTTATAAAAATTCATCCCAAATTTGATTCCCATATATTGTGTACCTACCTTTAAAAAAAAAAAAAAAAAAAAAAAAAAAAAAGAAATTAGGGTATTATCGTAAATCTAATTTTTAAATATTATATTAAATCTATCTTTCCAAAATAAATGGAACTAATTGGTCTATAAAAAAATCCTTAGGACAAAATGAATCACCATTCCTCAAGATGGGACTTATAGGTAAATTTTCCATAGTTTAATGGTAACATTTTACTTTAAAAAAAAACATCCATAAATATGATTTATATTTACAACATCACTATCACAATACTTTTATGATATTTTTTGTACAAATTTTTATATAAAAATATAATTTTTCATTTTTATTTCCGCCATCATTTTTCCTTCCCGTCTATTCACCTACATTTATTACAGTATTATCAAATACCGTCATTTACATTCATTACAGTATTACTGAATTTTTTTTTATATTTGATGAATTTAAAAAAAAAAAAATCAGATATTATGTTTTTTAAGTATATCTAAATTAGATGTATTTAAAAACTAAAAATAAAAATTGATTAAAATATTTAAAAAATTCAGTAAAAAAAATAAAAAAGTTCAATTTTTTGTGTGAATTAAACCAAAGAAAATGATTGTTATTTCTCTTAAAATGACGTGAACAAAATATCATTATTATTTTATTATTTTATATGTGTAAAGGTTAAGAGACAAATATGTCATTTTAATCTGATAGAGGGGTAAGTGCAATTTTTCAAACGTAAATGAGAGATCTGTATTAAATAGAAATCTTAAGAGTGTCAATGTAATTTACCCAATGTATATTAAAAAATATTAAAAATTTAAAATATTTGAATTCGATTAAAAATATATATATATATATAATTATTCAGTAGTTTTACAACTTATCAAATTATATTGCTTGAATTGTGTTTTAAGTCAACTACCTGATAAAAAAAAGAAGAAGAAGAGGAAATCACATATTAGTGATTGCTAGAAAAAAAATAGAAAATTGGTGATAAAGACATGCTGAAAAAGGCAGTTAGAAAATTCGCCAATGCTGAAAAAGGCAGCTGAAAATTGGGCGGAAAAGTTGGTGGCAGCCAGCAATAACAGGCGGCGATGGTGAGCTAAAAAAATGTATAATATTCAACAAATAGGTTGTATAATGAGTGACATATATTACATTTCAACAAATAGTTAGTATGATGAATATCAGCAAATAGATAGATATATTGATTTCAGTAGATAGACAAATAAATTGATTTCAACAAATCCTTTTGGACAAATTGTGTCCTTTTAGCCAAAAAAATAATTTAAGCCAACATATTCAAAAATGGCCTTATGACTGAAACTCCTTCAGAAAATATATGGTAAATATTAATAAATAAAATTATAAATTTTTTTAGTAATGTGTTATATATAAGTTCTAAAAAGGAAAATTTACAAACGTAAATGAGAGATCTGTATTAAATAGAAATCTTAGGAGTGTCAATGTAATTTACCCAATGTATATTAAAAAATATTAAAAATTTAAAATATTTGAATTCGATTAAATATATATATATATATATATAATTATTCAGTAGTTTTACAACATATCAAATTATATTGCTTGAATTGTGTTTTAAGTCAACTACCTGATAAAAAAAAAAGAAGAGGAAATCACATATTAGTGATTGCTAGAAAAAAAATAGAAAATTGGTGATGAAGACATGCTGAAAAAGGCAGTTAGAAAATTCGCCAATGCTGAAAAAGGCAGCTGAGGCGGAAAAGTTGGTGGCAGCCAGCAATAACAGGCGGCGATGGTGAGCTAAAAAAATGTATAATATTCAACAAATAGGGTGTATAATGAGTGACATATATTACATTTCAACAAATAGTTAGTATGATGAATTTCAGTAAATAGATAGATATGTTGATTTCAATAGATAGACAAATAAATTGATTTCAACAAATCCTTTTGGACAAATTATGTCCTTTTAGCCAAAAAAATAATTTAAGCCAACATATTCAAAAATGGCTTTATGACTGAAACTCCTTCAAAAAATATATTGTAAATATTAATAAATAAAATTACAAATTTTTTTAGTAATGTGTTATAAGAATAATGCTAGGTAGCTCAAAATTTTGTGGTTCAAATGGCTCACCTACAAAAATTAATTGATGGGACATGTTAATTTACCTTTATTAAAAATATAGAGTATTCTAAAAATATTTTTTCAAATATAATTTGAATATAATGCGTGATAAATTAAATTTAAATTTTAGATTTTTTTTAATGCATAATATTTTTTAGTAGTAGATTAAAGAGAAAGAAGAAAAAAACCAAAATTCATAAGGCAAAAGTATGTGACATGTGAACTTTACATATAATTGATGACATTTTCAATTGGAAAAAAAATTATTTATAACTTATGTAACTTAAAATTTAAAATTTCATATTCTTAGACTTTTAGCTTAACTTAAAAGCTAACAAAAAATAAGTCAAGGCTAAAAATAATAATAATTGGCACACCAATGATTTTTTTGTTGGAAAAGTTGGATTTGTTGTGAGAAAGTGAGATTTTATAATTGTTTTTTTAGTTAGAAGGTGAAGTCTTTTGACTTTTTGACACAAAATTAAGTTGTCAAAAATAAATAAATAAAAATAATGTAAGAAGATTAATTTAAGTTAGGCATTATTTGGCATCCCCTATAAAAGTGTATTTTTTTTTTATCTTTTTATTTTTTTAGAATCATATCATCTTTCTACTTTTTTTGCATATCTTTTTATAAAAAATCAAAACATATACTTAATCCAAACGTTGTTTTAGATGGATCA